CACACACACACACACATACTCATACATTGCCTTGGCCTATAGGTCAGCGCTGGCCAATACCTGCCAGTCAACTACAAACACAAAATCCTATAAGCCCTCTTTCATTGTCAAACACGCTTATCAGTCATTGCTAAGTTATATCTGGTATCCAGCCATGCACTCACACACACACAAACACACACACACACACACACACCACTTTTCGTCCCTCCCCTGTGTGGCCTGAGGGTCAGCACTGAGCCGCTGGTTCAGACCTGCGTACCCGCCACTGTTGTACAACATGTTTGGAGCTCGGCCACTGATTAAAGACCCACAGTCATCAATCAATCTGCACGTCTCCCACCAGCCTTTCATCTGCAGCCTGCTCTCATTAAGACCCACTCGCTGGGCTTTGACATTGAAGTGGATGAGGTGGAGAGAAAGGCGGGTTGTTGTATACATGAGAATGGCCTTGTTTGAATTCTGTTTGCATGCATTACGTTAAGGGCAAGTGATGCCAGCGAGGAGTGGTTGGAATGGGATGGAGAGTGGGTTATTACAGCCGAGGGCCTATGTAAATATGAGAGGCTTTTTGAATAATCTGAAATCTGGGTCTTCCTACATCCATCTTGTCTTTCTCGTCCTTCTGCAATTCATCTCATCTTACCTTTCCCTCTTTTTTGTCCTTTCTTCCCCCCTTTTTTTCCTGATCCATCTTCTTCTATCCACTTCCCCTCCTCCTCTTCCCTCACTTCCTCTACTGTCCGCTTAGCTTCCGTTACACACCCATCAGACCTTCCTGCTGCCCCACTGATGAGCGTGGATGACGCAGGCGTTTTGCTAGCTGATTGATTGGATAATCTTCTTAACGGGGTCAGCACGGCGAGCACGGCAGGCTCACACCGGTGAGCGGGTGAGTAAGACTGCTGGCAGGCACACATATACACCCACGTGCACACATAAACAGACAGTGGCACTCAGAGCCAGGTTATTAGGGTTACGTTGTCAATCACAGAATGCTGAGAACAACACGTCCTCAAAGAGACAGACGTCTCACTCACCTTACTGAAAAAGATCTCGTCACTGTTGGCAGTGTCTGTGTCCACCGTGTATATGTGATCCCTGCGAGCGATGGAGGGAGAAAGAGAGAAAGGAGAGAGATGAGAAGATAAAAGGTCAGACAGCAGCAGACAGTCAAAAATTCTACAAACAATAAACCCATTTCTTTTATTCCCTCTGTTTTCCCCCTGCAGGCAGCATACAACGTCAGAAAATGGGGCTTTGTATAAACTTTGTTCAAACTTCAAAAATGACAATAAACAAAAGGAGGCCAGAGCTATTTGCTCTGTCAGACAGAAACAGTCAACAAAGGTTTAGAGCGCTGTGGCGCAGGCCCAGGGACAAAGCCTCTTTGTCCCAGAGAAAGGTCTTGTGGGGGGGTGTAAGGGAGGAGGGGAAGGTTGAGACGGGAGGTGCCAAGTCACTCAGAGCTGTTCAGGTCAATTAAGCCTAGTGTTTGAGCCACAGGAAATCTATACTAACACTCATTATAGCTCAGACAAGAAGACTTGTGTGTGCTGGCCTGGAAATATACAGGCTTCTCCTGTATTACACAGTCCAGCCATATAGGCCCCAGCAGGGCATATGGAAGACATAAAACCCACAAGGGTTAACTACATCTCAGACAGACGGACCGGCTGGTGGACCAGGCATGTAGTTACACCTACTTACCATGGAGAATTAGGGTGCAGACAGGGAGGGTGCATCGGGGTTGGGGGGGTAGAAGGTGTAGAAGTGGTGTGAGCAGAAGAGACAGAAAGAAAGTGAGATTTTTCTCGTTTGAGCAGAGATCCAAAGGTGACCGTGCCAAACGATGTAACTGCTTTAATTTGTTGGAGATTAGCTGTTGAACGTGTTTTTAATCAAAGTGTATAACAGTGGCATCGTCAGACTCACGGCTTAATTACGTTCCAGCTCCCCAACCTGCGCTCAGCCAGTCAGCCTGCCTTGCTCTCTCATTAACTAAATCTAATAAAGTCTTTGGAGGAACAGGCATCTTGAAATGAATCCACTTATATCGCTTTCCTGGGGGCCACCGCCATCTCCTCGAGGATAAAACCCAGTCTACTGTACATTATCAGCCCCAACGCTTAAATTGAATAATTAATCTTTGAGAGCAGTTGAAATTAAGAAAACAGCACTGCTTTCTCGGTGGGAGAGGACACGTTTCCGGTGAGGCCAATGGCGAAACCTGTCAGTGAAATTGTTGCTGTGTGTCAGTTCTCCTTCCTTCCATGTCTACACTGAAATGATAACACATCACACAACTCTTCCACTGTAATACAATACAATGCTTTATTCACCTCAACAAACGTTTTCAGCTATCTTGCCTTAGAATACATTTGTCAGTCATGTGACTTATAGGTTGCTATAGTTACAGTACTATAAAACAACACTATCATCATCTTTTAAAAAAGTTTAGTTCTGTTTAGTATACCTCTTCTTGGTTTTTGGTTAAATAAAACCTTCTTTTATAGAAAATCCACCCATGCCTGCCATCTTGGTCCCTCACAATGGATAACCATAACTAAATTTGTTCTTTAAAAGAAATCCTGTTCTTTGAAACTGATTGAAATCAAAAACATTTTCATATAATATTCAGCTATGAAAGGAGAAAAGGAAGTCAACTTTAGGTCATTGAGATGCATCCCATGCCCTTCCTGGATTCAAGTTCACTTGCTTGAGCAAATTCCAGATGCTGACTGTCACTCTGCCATGACTAAAGATCGAGCATTTCAGGCTTAAAACCGCAAACTCTGCTGCAAAAATGTTTTTCATTAAAGCTCTCTGCTAGCACTACCATTGCACTACTCAGGCTAATTGATCTGGATTGAATTTCCGGGGTTCCTGAACGGCCCTTCTGTGTTTCAGTGTTTCTTTCACCTTGCTGCCAAGGTAACAGGATACATGTCATGGAGCTACAGTAAATTTGATTATTAAAATGGCAACTGTAATTCGTCAAAGATAGAGGAAAGACACAGAAGAAGAAACATTTAAATGGAAAAGAATAAATGATGGGTGATAACACTGATGGATGATATCACTATAATGTTCAGCTATGTTGCCTAAAGTTCAGGGACTTGTTCATTTAACTTCATTTATATCTTTATATTAAAATTAAAATTCAAACTTTATATTAAAAATACAAAACTAAATCAAAAGCTATTAAATCGGAGGATTACTTGGCGGATTTAGTGTAATCCCATGGGTTATTTTACTGCCTGCAATTTTAAAACAGCTCACGAGAAATCTATAATTGACTGCTCCATAATTTTCTACAGTAACCTTCCCAGCTATGCTCCCTGCCATGTGCCTCTCTTGTCCTGCTGCTGACAGCATCCTCGAGGGCCGAGGCCTTCCAGCCGCAGGGTTTTTGGTTCCAGCAGAGATTAGAGGGAGCCAAGCGATGAGGCGTCCCTCAAACATCCTGACTAGAGATGGAGGAGGACAATGGAGCGGCTGTGTCTGTGTCAACACCAGCTCTCTAAACACACACATGTGTAAGGAGGAGACATACTCACACAAACATGCACATGCACCCTTTCACCTCCTTACCACTGCACCTGAACTCATATTACAACTTATTCACTTCCCTCTGGTGTGTGAGTCACATCAAGAGAGGACACGGTCTTCAAGGACTACACTGGTGGGATTGTATGTTTCAGATCATTAACTACAGAGTGAATATACTTCACATTATTGCAGACCATTTTCCAAAGCAAACCTGAAGTTTTAAAATTGATTTCCTACCTTCCAGGCAGCCAGTGGTTTGCGTTTATTTAATAACCTATGAAAATCAACTTACAGAGAGCTGAAACCCTGAAATACATGATCCATCACAGCCAACATTTCATTGCCTTTATTTCCTGGCAAAGTTACATTATTGTCACAAGGTGTGATGTGACATGTGATTGCATTCACAAATTATTAGTTTTATTGGAGTTGTGAAACTAAGGTCGAAACTAACAATTAGCTTCACTTTTGATTTAATCTGCTTATTATTTTCTTTATTTCTTTTTATTAATCGATGTATCATTTATTTTATGTAATGTCAAAAAATAGTTAAAAAAATCCAGTGTACAATCACATAAAACAGAGAGAGAAGCTGCCACCAGACAATATTTGGCATTGAAATAATCTATCAATTATTAAAATGGTTGCTGATTAATCTTCAGTCAGTCAACTAATTGACAAATCAATACAGCTCTGCAGGAAACAAAATCACAGTGTAAAAGGGGTGAAACGTTAAATGTAAAGTAAGTTTCTTGCCTTAAAAAGGTTGCTGGTAAAACTTTCCACTCAACAGGGAGTTTATATATAACAGAAACCTACAGTGTGGTCATGAAGAGTATAGGACAAGTGTTTAATCTTTTCAGCTTTTTAAAATATTTTCTTGTTATGAGTCTTCAAACCCTAAAAAAAGACAGGCGCCCTACTGACCTAGCAGCCTAAAGCTGAGGTCAGATTTCGAGACAGGTTTTTGCCCGCTGAGCATACTTCAGACTAAACAACTGGCCTGAGTAAAGCTGCTGTCTTATTAAGGCCAAAGTGTGGCAAAGAGTAATGGTACTACCCAACTGTATTATGCAGCAGCCTGTTTCCAATTGCACCGAGCAGTTCAGTGGGAATTTAGAAATTACCGTTCTATTGTTTATTGTTTCCTGGAATAGAAATATTTACATTACAGATGTACACATTTACATTTCACTTGTAGTTTTATTCATGAGAACGAAAAATGTTGTATGAGTGTTCTTCCGTTCAATTTGCATATGTGGACTAAACCTGCCATTTCAGATCAGGTACATTCCTTTAAATAAAGTCTTGTAATAACTCATGAAGTGCAGAGCAAGATGAGTTGGGAATATTTGAAAATGTATACTTTTTACAGTATGTGGGTAAAAATAGTTGTTGTTTATAAAAATCAATGCCAGTATATTTATTCTCTTCTTCGCCATGTGCTTAACTCCCTCTAACTGTTAATGTCACACTTCATGGTGAATCTTGAGCCACTCACACCACATGTTTCAGACTGGGTCCAACAAAATTATCAGGAATTGTCAGGAAGGTTATGTCTGTAGTCTTGAGCCCATTCAAACTGCATCATGATTAATCTATACCAGGGGCTTTCAAAGTCTGCCACTGTGCCCATCCCTGTGGGCTAAAACTTGAGATCCATTCTTTAGCCTATATTTATTTATATATTGCACAATTGACACCATTAAGCAGTTCCTGTGTGAAATGCACCCATGGATGATTACAACAACCATGACTGGATTACTTTGATACATAAGAAAACGTAAAGACTTTTGGAGCAAATTCTGGAGTCATAATAAGCACCTTTTTCTACTATCTTTAACCATGGATGTTTATTTGCGATGGACATAATGAGACGTGAGATAGTGATATCCTCAGAGAGTGTAAATCACGATAAATTTTAAACTATATCAGGTTTGTTGGTTTAGATTTGACTGGGTTGTGATTTAGAGAACGAGTGTCATTTTTCACAAATAGCAGCAATCAGGCACTGAGGGTTTTAAAGTCCTTAACTGTGTGTCACAGCCACTGCTGCAGCTCCAACTGCTGATCGGGTTGGTAAGCCGGCCAAATTTGTGCAGTAAACTACAATAACTAACTTTTTAGAACACCAGAGGACAACTGTCCCTTTCACCTTACACAGTGTCTTTGCCTCATGTTGCTCCCTCCACACCCCAATTTCGACTATCCAGTGACCCCTGGGGAGGCGCAAATCAATGTTTGAAAATCTCTCTGCCAAACACTGGACCCAAATCTAACTGGTTTAAATCTGTCTCATATTTACAGTCCAGTCCAGGCCTCTACTTGAATCCTATCAAAGAGTGGTGTTTACTGAAATCCAGCACAAAGATGTTTTGCTACATGCCATTCTCTTTCCCATCATTTTCTCACTCTCGACTGTAAACTATGAATCAAACATTCTCCAAAAATGGCACAGTGCTGTTGCACAAAACATAGGGGTCTACTATATAGGGATTATGAAATTCAAAACACCATGAGATTTAGAGGAAACCTCCAGACAATTGGCT